GTACAGGATACCTGGCCGGTACACCTCAAACTGTCAAGGTCATCAAACGCAAGGGAAGTCTGAGAGACTGTCACAGCCACGAGGAGCCTAAGGAGGCGTGACAACTAAATGTCATGTGGTATCTTGGATGGGATCCCAGAAAAGAGAAAGGACTTTAGATATAAACTAAGGCAACCTGAATAGTCTATAGTCTTTAGATAATAATAATGCATTAATATTGGTTCATTAATTGTGACAAACGTACCCTATTAAAGTAAGACGTTAATAAAAGGGGAAACTGTGTGTTTTGGGGGTCTGTGGTATATGGGAACTCTGTGTACTATCTGCTAAATGTTTCCATAAATCTAAAACTATTCAAAAAGATAAAGTCTATTAAAAAAACAAGTAAGTGCTCTTCACTTGCTTGCTGAGAGGACACAGGAGGAAATGGGAGATGCACAGGGTTCTGGATCCCCCGAAGCTGTAAGCTCCCAGAGGGCAGGGCCCTCTCGCCAGTCTCCGTCACCGAGCACTCTCCCTGGCACGTGGGTTTGCTGAGTGACTACATGAGTGTCAGGCTTGTACTGTACGTTGTCCACGCGGGGATGAAACAGGAGATCACCGCACCTGGGTTCTCAGCTGCCCAACACAGGTCTGAAAGCTAACTCATTCAGCCTTTCAGACAGAGAGGCTGGGAAGGAGGGACAGAAAGGTGCTTACGCAGTGGCCGGCGGATAAGGCATGACGGGTACCGAGGATATGTAGGCAAGGGCCGCAGGGGCTGGTGCTGGGGGCGCAGCCGCCAGATACCACAGTCCAGGGGGCAGCCGCGGTGGAGACCCCACCTGCTTCTTCCTCTGCTTGGGGCTGGAAGTTGAAGGTGCTTTTCTCCTTGTGGCAGTCTTTTCTGCCCCTGTCAGGGAGGGAACATCAGAGACAGACAGGGTCTGACTACTCGGGCAGATCTGGCTGAGAATTTAGGGTCTGCACCATCCCTCCCTTTGAGAACTGGACACTGGGCTTGCCACGCTGGGGAGATCCTCCCGTTGGGACACAAATCCTTTCCCCATGTGCTCCATCCCAAAGTGGGAAGAGCAGCCACCCCAGTTACATTCGCCCAGGTTCCCAAGACCTGGTCAAGGGGAGCTGAGGGTCCGGCTGAGAGAAGACACTGAGCATTTGTCCTACCAGAGGTGGCTGAGCCTGGGGCATCTCCCTCTGAGGTGAACCCAACTTGACCACACAGGGGACACTGGAGGGTGTCAGGTTGAGACGGTCCCAGGGGGTCACTGGTGGCAGCACTACCTGGAAGGGGAGGAAGAAAGGTCAGGAGATGATAATGTCTAAACCATTGAGACTGGAGACCCCACACAGGCCTCCTGCAGCACTGAGCTTTCCCCAGGACCTGTTGCAAGGAAGACAAGCTGCCTCCACCTGGGTGACAGTAGTGATGACAACCGTGGCATTGAGAGTATGCACTGAACGAGCCAGGCCTCTGCTAAGGACCTTCCTGCATTACTTCATCAAATCCAACAAGGCCCTGGGCTACCTACTCTCTTCACGCTCCTATTTCACAAGTGGAGAAAAAGAGGCTCCCAGAGGTTGAGTAATTAGCCCCGGTCTCAGAGCTGGGGAATGGTGGTCCTATGACCCCAAGCCTGGGCTCCCCTAACTACAGCTCCCTGTTTCGCCACAGTGAGACAGACCCATTCTCCACACGGGAGTGGCGAGGACAATCCCCCAGGCCCCAGAGAGGGTCAGTAGAGGCCTAACGGAGCAGGAGGAGAGTAGGCACCGTTGTTCTGTTCCCACGAAATCCCCTGAGCCACAGTTGGGTGGGGTTCAGGGCTGGTCCACTTCTCCAGTCAGGCCTCAGTTCTGGGAAGCCCTCCCACCCACCTAGTGTGCCCCCCGTCCCCACCATGTGCTCTGTTATCCCAGCACTGACCACTCTGTTTTGTTAGTGTTTCCTTAGCTGAGAGGTCCTTGTGGACAGGGCCCAGGACCCAGTATGTGTAGGTGCTGAATGAATGAGTGAATGAATGAATGAATGGAGGAGCCTGCTGGAACTCTAGCAAAGGCAAAGTGACATAGTGCTGAAGAGATGGGGCTGGGTTCAAAACGTGCTCTACCACTAAGCTCTGTGTCTTCAGGAAGTTACTTAACCTCTCTGAGCCTGAGTTTCCTCCCCTACTAAATGAGCATAATATTAGTACCTACTTCATAGAGTTGTGAGCGTTAATGTATATAAAATCCGTAGTAGGATGCCTGCTATACAGTAGGAGCTTAATAAATGCCAGCTCCATCCTTACCATTACCATTGCTCGAAATGGCCTTAGAGATCATCTCCTCCCACCCATACATAATGGATGTGGAGAGTGAAACTAAGAGAAGTCAAGGAACTGGCCTAAGTTCACATAGGAAGTCAATGGCAGAACTGGGACTAGAATCCAGTGTCCAAATCCTCAGGCTCTGCTCTCCCCACAACTCTTCCCTGTTGGGTTTGGGAGTTTTGAGGAGTGAAGGGAGGATGGTGAGGGAATGAGACATAATCACCACTGCCAGCTCCCAATTGCCCAGGCTCACTTCTCAGGACCTTTCAGGAACTTCTTAAATCAAGGAGGGTGGCTTCAGGATGCAGCACCCAGAACAGCAGGTGTTTTGGCAGCACCCAGAGCAATCCCATTCCCTAGTCTGTTCCTATAACCCACTGCTGAGCTTAGGGAAGGCCCACCTCTGCCCCAGCCATGCAACCCTAATGGCAAGAAGTTGTAACCTGGCCGGTGTTCAAAGAACCCTCCCTTACCTGTATCCTGGGCCATAATGGGCCGGCAGTGGGGACAGGAAACTGTGTCACTGCCTCTCAGCACAGCCTTGGGGGACAGAACCTGGTACTCCTGGCCTGGGGATAAAAACAGAACTGTCAGTGGCAGCCCTCTGCACAGATGCAGAACTGGGGAGGGTCCAGGTGCAGCGCTTTCTTTCCTCTTCCTCCAAATGGTCTGAATAGTCTCTGTCTCCCCATGTACAAACGTGAGCACACACACACACCATGAATGTGCACAGGTGTGGACATACATGAGTGTGTACATACACATACCTCCCTAGCCCTCCTTCCTGGCCTACCTGTGTACTGGCCCCGGAAGGTGACCCTGTCTGGCCTTCCAGCACTGCCCATCCCTCTCATTCTGTCCCGAGCTGCCTGGGGACTGTCCTCGGTGGTCCTGCTCTTCACAGAGAACAGCCGGGGGGAAGGCGACTCAGATTCTGAACCTGAGATAGAAAGAGAGAGGCACCTGAGGGAGTAGGGGCAGGGGTCGCACAGCTCAGGGAGCGGGTATATCACAAGCTCAGGCCCTGGGGTAGATCCGTCCCATAGTAATAACAGCCGACACGTCCAGAACCCTGACCCTGGGCTAAGCCTGGTCTAGATGCTTTGTGTGTGCTGTGTCATGCACCTTCGCGGCAATCCCACCGCTTGGATGCTATTATTACTGCATGGTTAGCTGTTGCTGAAACTGCCTGTAGCAGGTCAACAACCAGGCTGAGGACCCACATGAAGGAGTGGACCTGGGGTTGCTTCCCGGCCACTGGCTCCAGAGTAAGTCCCCTGAGCTGTTCGGGCTTCAGTGTCCTTATCTGCAGAATGTAGATAAGGTGACCTGATTTACAGTGGAGATTAAGTGAGATGATATATACAGGGCCGTCACCGACACTCTGGCACATAGTAGGTGCACAGTATACGGTAGCTATTTCTAGAAGTGTACTGTGCTTCAGAGCACTACCATGGCCTGAAACAGACCCGAAAAACATTCCCCAGGTTTCCTCGAAGGCTGTAGCTGTGGTCCCTGATCATTGAGCTCATGTGCTTAGACTGTGGCCCTCAGAAATCAGTGCTGACAGGTAGTCACTTACTCAGGGACCGTCGGGGCACCTCACAAGGCACCGAGGAGGACCTGGCCTGCCGCCTTCCTGCACGGACAGCTCTCTCTCCACCTCCAGAATCACAGGAAAATCTCTCTGTGGATTTACTAGCCAAAGGGAAATAGAGATGATGTCACTGGATGAATTTTGTGCAGGCATTAAAGATGATCAGTCCCATAGTAATAACAGCCGACACGTCCAGAACCCTGACCCTGGGCTAAGCCTGATCTAGATGCTTTGTGTGTGCTGTGTCATGCACCTTCGCGGCAATCCCACCACTTGGATGCTATTATTACTGCATGGTTAGCTGTTGCTGAAACTGCATGAAGCAGGTCAACAACCAGGCCGAGGACCCACATGAAGGAGTGGACCTGGGGCTGCTCCCTGGAGATTGGCTCCACAGCAAGTCCCCTGAGCTGTCTGGGCTTCAGTGTCCTTATCTGTAGGATGTCAATAATGTTACCTGATTTACAGTGGAGATTAAGTGAGATGATATATAAAGGGCCCTCACAGACATTCTGGCACATAGTAGGTACTCAGTATATGGTAGCTATTTTTAGAAGTGTACTGTGCTTCAGAGCACGACCTAGGCCAGAAACAGACACGAAAAACATTCCCCAGGTTTCCTCGAAGGATGTAGCTGTGGTCCCTGATCACTGAGCCCACATGCTTAGACTGTGGCCCTCAGAAATCAGTGCTGGCAGGTAGTCACTTACTCAGGGACCGTCGGGGCACCTCACGAGGCACCGAGGAGGACCTGGCCTGCCGCCTTCCTGCACGGACAGCTCTCTCTCCACCTCCAGAATCACAGGAAAATCTCTCTGTGGATTTACTAGCCAAAGGGAAATAGAGATGATGTCACTGGATGAATTTTGTGCAGGCATTAAAGATGATCAGTCGGAATGTCGACCTGGAGAAATGCTTATAGCACAATGGGGGAAGAGAGCATAGAAGTCAAAACCAAAGACTCTGGAGTCAGTCTCGCAGAAAACAGCTCTGAGCTTCTCTGACCCTCAGTTTCCTCATCTGTCAAAGGGGGATACCAAGAGCAATTATCTCAGAGAGTTACTGGAAGGAGTAATGAGGCAATGTCTACAAAAACCTTAACCTAGTACCATCCCACAGAAACACTCAAAAGGATTTAGCTGATTTTCTAAGTCATCATCATAAACGAAGGAGCAGCGAGTGAGTGGGTGGGAGGGTGAGCATCCTGCAAACGTTCTAGCTCTTCAGTTGGGTGGTGGGTTCAGGGATATTCACCGTATCATGCTTTATTATTAGCACATAGGTTTAGATATTCTTTTATGCCTCAGACACTGCACAGTGATAAAATGGAAGAGTGAATGAATGATTGAGCCAATGAGCAAGACAGAGACGTGGCAGCGCCTGAGTCCACATGTCCAGGGACGGTCACAGGCTTTCCAAGGCTATCTTCTGCAGCTTCCACCAGGGCACAGAGGTGGGAGTTTGGAGCCACCTACCTGCCATAGTGGTAGCCCCAGGTAGCTGAGGAATCCGCTGGCCGGTCCCGAGTCCGGGCAGGGCGGTCAAAGGCAGACGCTGGGCGAGTTGGGCTGCCCTGGTGTGGCTGGTGCAGGCTGTCCTCTAGCCGCACACGGAGCCGGGACACCTCTTCCTGCAGCTCGCGGATGGCCTGGCTGGGATTGGGGTGGAAACAGAAACCACAAAGAACAGATGCAGTATGAACAGACCCATGGCCACTCCAGAGGATGCCCAGATGCAGTGGCCTTTGTCCCTTTCCACCAGGCACAAAGTCCAACTCTGCTGTCAGATGATTCTAGAACTTTCCTGTATCTACTTTTCTTGCTACACATCTGACATCTTTCCGAGTTCATGGCCCTGGGCATCTGAGCCAAACAGAATCTTTCTCTGAGGTTTACTCCTCCTAACACACAGGGCCTGAGCAGTTGTTTGCAAACACAACAGATTCTCAAGATAGAGATGAGGCTGCAGAATACAGAGGGCACTGGCCAAAGATCCACTTTAAGATTTCCAACCTATCTGTCCAGATCTGGCTCCTTCCTGCCCTTGCTCAGCAGCTCCCTCCTGGGTTCCCACAAGTATTTTAGTGTTGTTCAAGCCCATCTCTCTACCCCTGGCAGAGGATGCTTGTCTGTCTGTCTCCCTCACCAGAGAGTGAGCCATGGGCGGGCAGGCAGGCAGGCAGGAAGCGGCATTCCCATCTCATAACCCCTGAGACCCTTTCCCCTCAAGGCGCTCAGGAAATGTTACTGAGCTGAAGGCAGGCTTCCAGAGGGAGAGAGGAAGCGCTGTGCATAGAGAGCGGACAAGGAGACACTTGAGTGCTTCCCAGCACTCACCAAGCAGGGGCCCTTGTGAGCAGGCTGGAGCAAGCAGATGCTGTCTGCAAGGCTGCTATGGTCCTTGTGAAACCCACAAACACAGCCCGCCCTCTTATCAGCAAGGCATTGCAATGAGCAGCTAGCATACTCTGGGGAGGAAATATTGTTTGCATTTCTCTCCAGCCAGTCCCTGCCTCTCTAGAGTCATGTTGTGTAGGCATTGTTGGCACTGGGGCAGATGATCCCACCCAGAAACCCCTACACACGGAGCTGCATCATGGCCTGGGCTTGACATGGCAGTCCCCTGGGCTGCTGCAGGCTCTACATCTCCTCCGTGGGCCAGCTTCTGGGGTGGGGACTCCACTCAGTGTTAGTTCTTGCCTGGAGGCCCCTGAACCCTGCCTGAGTGTCTCCTGGTGCCACCTTGAGCAACTTGAGCTCTCAGATAAGCAAGTGTGCCAAAGGAGTGCCAGCGTGGTGTGTGTCCAAGGGGAGTGGGTTCCCCTGGCAATCCCCAGGGAGACGCTTGTTGGGGTTTCCAAGGCCAACCACGAGGGCAGTGGCTGTGGGAGAGCAAGCACTCCCTTAACTGGTTAACCCCTACAAGGCAGGGCTCTGGCTCCCAGTCCTCCGAAGACGCTGAAGAAAGGCTTACTAGGCTCGGGACTTGAGGCACCAGTTGGGTGTCACTTCCTTTCTCTTGGTTGTTTCTATCAAGAGCTCAGTCTTCCTGACGTCCCGAAGACGCTGAAGAAAGGCTTACTAGGCTTGGGACTTGAGGCACCCAGTTGGGTGTCACTTCCTTTCTCTTGGTTGTTTCTATCAAGAGCTCAGTCTTCCTGACGTTTTAGTTGCTGAGTACCAGCTGGCATTGAAATCCATCTTTCTCTGCAAATTTGTGCCCTTATTTCCACCCATCGCACCAGCATCCAACTGGTTGGCCATCCAAAAATCTGAGTCAATCCATACCCTTCTCCTTCCCTGAACACCCCATGAAGTTAACCAACTACCAAGCCCTATGGGCCCAACTGTCTTCTCAAATACATCCCTCCTGCCTCTGCCCACTGGCCTCCCCAGGGTCCAGGCCTCTCTTCTCTCTCCTGGGTGAGGCCGCCTTCTCAGCAGTCTCTCCCTCTCAGAGGCCAGAGAACTCTTTCTAAAACATAAACCTGACCATGTCACTCCTCTGCATAAAATCCCCCTCACTGTCCTCCGGAGAGCCTTTATGCATTCTCGAAATATTCAGTGAATGCCTCCTCTGAGCCGAGCCACCATCCAAACTTCTACCCATGTCATTCAAGGCCCTCCAAGATCTCCTCCAAGTCTCCCCTGGCTACTTCTCTGCCTGTATTGCTCAGCACCCCACCACCCCACACACCATGATCTGGTAATAAAGAAGGTTTGGCTCCTCAAAGGTGACAGGACACTCTCTCACCTCTAGAGTTTTGCACATGCTGTTCCCTCTGCTGGAGATCCTCTTCCATCTCTCTCCTTCCTGATCTCAGCTGAGATACCACTTCCTCCAGGAAGCCCTCCCTGAAGCCTCTGACTGGACTAGATGCCCCTTCTCTGTGCTTGCAACTCCTATGGACCTCTGCTGTCACTGTACTTATCACACTGGGGGTGCAACTGCCTGTTTCTTTGTCCATCCAACAAGATGGTGAGCCTTACAAGGCCAAGGACAGTGTCTTGTCCACCACTGTATTTCCCAGGGCCTGGCAAATAAGCCTCTAATTCCTATGCTGATGTCAGAGGAGACTGCAGGGGAAGACTTGTTAAACTTAGACCAGGAAGCCAAATGCCAGCAGCTGGACACGACTTTGCACACAGGTAACATGACAGCCTCATGACTGCAAAGGCCAAGGAGGTCGGTTACCACAAAGCAGACATCCCAGTGTTTCCGAGACAGGTACCCCATCCAGCAAAGGCATGCGAAGGATTACTGGCCAAAAGCAACTAAGAGGAGGTTAAGAGGACTAACCCATCTTCCTATTTCTCTTCAACCAGGTAAGGAGCAACTTTCTTAGTAGAAAAACTGCACTTGGATTAAAAAGAAAAAAGCAAAACTCAGAAAAACCCAGGATTGTCTTAGTTCAGATAATGAATGAGTGAATTGCAGAAAACATGTTCCAGGGAAGGGCAGACCTGTCTTGGAAGGGAGGTGTTGAGGAGAGGGGTGAGAGGTCTCAACACTGGAAAGGTGAACCTTTGGGTCATTTCCCATGGGTTGGAGAAGTGTCCTTGAGGTCTAGATCAATGAGGTCCTACAGAAAGAGCCCTGAGTTGGAGGCAGGACACCGGGTCCTTCTGACCCCAGCACAACCACGACAAGGTGCATGAGTGGGGCAGGTCCCCACCTCTACCTCCCTAGGGTGTCACCCTCCTGTCTACATGACGAGTTTGAACCCACACAGCCCAAGTATCCGACTTACTCTCGCCCTGTTCTGGTGAGGAGGAGGCCCGGGTTGGTCTCTGTTGGCTTGTGGGGCAGAGGAGCAGCTGCAGGGGCCAGGGTGGGGGGTGGGCTGGTTGTCCTGCTGGGGAGGAGCTGTTCAGAAATCCGCTGTAGCCCCTCCGATTCTGAGCTGGAGACCACTAGGGAGGCAGAGAGACACCAAAGTGAGCTTAAGCAGACAGAAGCCCCGAAGCTCAAACTTGGGTAGATTGAATGATGGGCGGAGGGGACAAAGAGACAGTTCCCAGTGCAAGGTCACATATAAAGTTTCTGATTGGACCAATGACCAGCTCACCTGAAAACCAGAAGAAAATCTGGGTTTTGCTGGGAGTGTGGGGTACTGAGCTGGGCCTACTGAACACCTTCTAATAAAATACCCCAGCCATCCAACATAATGCATCAGGTCCAAGTCTTCAGGAATGTCCCCCTGCAAAGAGGTCACCGCCCCTTCACTTGAGCCCCCAGACTCTGTCACCCTCTCACTGTGTTGTTTTGAAACTGGCTTCAAAGCCTCTAGGTCCCTCTGAAATTACAGTCACACCGTAATCACATGGGTGCATTTCTGGGGACAGCATATATAACTTTAACCAACCTTTCAAAAGGATGGTGACCAAAAGTTAAAAACCACTACTCTGGCCCATGCATTAAAAATAATGAATACTTGCAACACAACTCAGCACTATAAAGGACCTATTTTTTTTTCCTTTTAAAGGAACCAACTATTAATATATGGAACAATCTAGATGAATATCCAGAGAATTATCCAAAAGGTTACCTATCGTATAATTCCACTTATGTAATATTCTTGAAATGGCAAAATTATAGAAATGGGGAAGAGATTAGCAGTTACCAGGTTAAGGACGCGGTGGAGGCAGGAGGGAGGTGGGTGTGTCTATATGAGGCGACATGAGGGGTCCTTGTGGTGATGGAAATCCTCTCTATTTAGACCTTACCAATGTCAGTATCTGGCTGTGACATTGTACAGTTCTGCAAGATGTTATCATCAGGGGAAACTGAGTAAGGGCACATAGAATCTCTGTGCATTATTTCTGACAACTGCATGTATATCTACAATTATCTCACAATTAAAAGTTCTATTAAAAAATTTAAAAATGATGGACCTGAAAAAGAGGCAAAGCTAATCCAAGGTGCCTATGTTTGGGGAAAAGGGTGGTGACGAGAAGGGGCTTGAGGGGAGTTCTGGGGTTCTGAGCATGTTGAGTTTCTTGGTCTGTGCTCACTTTGTAAAACTTCATCAATTTAGGTTCTTTTCTGCATGTTTTCTTTCAGTAAAAAGTTCATGTGCATTTTTTAAAGGTAAAAAACTGAATCACATAGATTTTATTGACATGGAAAGTGTACATGATACAATGTTTGGTGGAAAAAGGAGATTACCAGACATTCTCATATAATATGATCCCATTTCTGTTTTAAGTATATGTAAACATATCAGCATAGAAAACAACTCACAGGTTCTACACCAAAATGTTAGCACCGATAGTTTACAGTGTATTTTTTTTTCTTTTGTTCCCTTTTGTCTACCCTATCTGTAACTTCAAATTGTCCCTTGATGAAACTGTATAATATTTCATATCCTAAAGGGTAATGTAAGTTTTTTGTTGGTTTGACTTTTTAATCCCTATAGTTTTTTCTTTTGTTCCCTTTTGTCTACCCTATCTGTAACTTCAAATTGTCCCTTGATGAAACTGTATATATTTCATATCCTAAAGGGTAATGTAAGTTTTTTGTTGGTTTGACTTTTTAATCCCTATAGTCTGGCCACCCCCTGGTTCTGGCCAACCCAGGCTCATTCACTTACCCATCTCGGCCACCAATGCCCGCTCTGGGTGGCAGCTGGGTGCCCTCTGCCAAAGAGCACTGCTTGAGCTGGACAGGTATCTCTGGATCCGACTCCTGGGTATGCTGGGCACAGCGGCTCTTCTGGGCACGAGAGAGCACCTGGCCTTGGGGTGGGAGGCTCCATCGCAGGGCACAGATGCAGGGAAGGGCTGGGCTACTGTTCCCGGGCTGCTGGGAGACCATGGAGGGAGGGGCACACTGAGATCACACAGAGGGGCCCTCAGGCCATGGCATCTGAGCCCTTCCCCTTGCTAAACCAATGAGCTCCCAACCTTTGGTGCTAGAATCCCTGGTGGGAGAATGTTTTCGAGGATGCACACACATCATACATCCATTTCTTTATAAACTGCAAAACTGTATGCCTGCCAACCCATATATGCAAATGATCAAGCCCAATTTGTGTTTTAGAAAATATAAAGAGAAACAGAACTTCTAATCCTTTCTTTGCACGCACTTTGGGAGCCATGTGGGCCTCCTGAGGGGCCTGCATGTGGCTTTGGAGGTCTCTTGTCTACATGGTGCCTATGTCACTCCACCCTTCCATGTCCCCTCCACCCTCTCCCTTCCCTTCGGGTTCCAGCCCAGTCTCTTCCCCATGTAGTCACTCTGCCCTTTGTCCCTGTCTTCTGTTCACCTCACACTACCCTCCCTGTGGTCTTTATTCATTCACTCATTCACTTGTTCATTTGTTCAACAAATATTAATGTCCCAGTCTGTGCTAACTGGCTGTGTGATGCCAGGCGGGTCACTTCCCCTCTCTGAGCCTCTGTTCCCATCTATCAGTAAGCCGGGGACAAGGATCCATCGCTGAGAGGATGAAATGAGGGTCTATGAGTGTCTAGACCACCCCCCACCCCACTTGGAAGCATCACAGGCAGTGATTCCCAGGCTATTCCAGGTGTATGACTGTGATGGGAAAATGGTGGGGTCCCAGAATACCTATTGTGGGAGAGCCGGTGCTCTGGGGTCTGGGTGACGGGTGACACTCTGCTGGTTTCTGAGCCCACAAAGCCACTGTCTGTCTCTGGAGATGCTATCCAGGGCTCCTGAAAGAGGCAGTATCCCTTTAAGTCTGAGGAATGTGCCCAAGGCACAGAGGGAAGCCCTTCCCGAATCCTGGCCTGGGCCTCACATTCCAGTGGCTCACAGACACAGGGGGCAGGCCAGCTCCCAGCAGCCAGGCCCGGGGTGTGAGGGTCCTCAGGCCTCAGACCCCAGCACAAGCCCCAGGCTAGTAGCAGGGACTCCACATCCTGAGAGGCCCCAAGCAAGTCCTGCTCCATGAGGCGTGGAGCTAGAGCCCTTGGGAGAGACACTGGAGCGAAAGGGAAACAGAAAGAGGGGAAAGAGAAAGTCTTATCTGACTGCAGAAATGCTCAGGACCACTGTGTTGGGAAAACAAAGTCCATTGAATATGTACACCTCCTACACACTGGGTTTAATGCAGGCACAAAGAACACAGCAACACGGGCTATCCTCAGTGAGTTCACAGTCTAGTGCAGGGATTTCCGATCATGAGCTTATTAGGATTACAGAAGAGTGTGCGTATGCATGTGTGTGTACACACACATCTCTGCATTATTCCATGAGAGGATCCATAGCATAAGTCACATTTCCAGTGGTCTGTGACCCCTCCAATAGTTTGACAATGGCTGCTCTAATGGCACTAATGGCACGGAGTAAAGAACCAGCCCCCAGCTGTGATAAGCAGGTCTGGAGAAATACAGGCAATGAGCTAGGAGCTCTCAGAGGAGGAACCTGGCAGAAAGACAGGGTGAAGGGGTGGCAATGGGTATAAGACCTGAATGCTGGGTGAGATCGTGGCTGGCAGGGACAGGAGCCACAGGCATTATATTCTGAGAAGGAACGGCCTGAGCAAAGGCTGGAGGCAGAAAGCTCAGGAGATCCAAGGAAAGATGCTGAGGTCCTGAGCCCATGCCCCTATGCGGACACTTACCTCCAGGTGGGGCCCGCCAGCTTGGCACAAAGACTTCTGTGGAAGGCGCTCAGAGATGCCACTGCCCTCCAGGCTGGTTGTACTGCTCTGGTGGGATGCCATGGACTTGGTGCCTGGAGACTGTGGTGGCATGCCAGGGCCTTGAGGAGCGGCATCGGCCTTGTCCAGGCCTGGCATGTGCCCGTCTCTGGCTGCAGGTGTCTGGAAACCTGGTGGCTTCAGGGACACCATCTGCTCCTCAGCCTCCCTGGTGGGGAAGAAGAGGCACACCATTCCTGAGCCCCAACATGAGCCGGGCAGCCCTGAGCAGTCCAGGGCACAATCTCTGGAGTCAGCTCCCGGGTGCCCATCCTGGTTCTGCCACCTTCTAGCTGTGTGACGTCGGGCACGGCACTTCCCCTCCCTGAACCTCACTTTTCTTAATTGTAAAGTGGGTTGCCAACAAAAGCCACCCAATAAGCCACAATGGAAACATCGTAAGAACAGCTGAGCTAAAGCAGCATTTTGCAGACTTCAAGAGTTTGCATACCATCTTCCCTATTTCAGTCATTTCCACAAAATTCTATTTGCACAAAAAAATTTTATGTCACTATTATAAGCAGAACACCAGTATTTTGTATTACAAATAGAAACTAACTTTGAAAATAAATACAACACACATCAAAACAATATTATATTCTAGATAGTTCCTGTGGCCTGCTGATGGCTCTGAGCCCAAGGCCTGCTTGCTTGCGCTTTCTGTGTTCTCCCTGACTTCTTTCCCTGACCCTTCTCCCTGACTTCTCTCCCTCTCTCTCTCTTTTCAAAGGAAGATCAACAGACGCATTAAAGACGTAATAGTATTAAAGGAGACTTTCTCCTTGATGTCATTAGAAGGTCAGAGACTGGAAAGGAGAATAGAGTTATTTAATGCTCCTTCTGTGCTACTGAAAATCATGTCCACACTGTGGGGAGACAGGACAGGCAAGCCATGTGTAAACTGTGAAGTGCCGTCTAGCTCACACTGACAATGATCCCCGCTGTGGTTTCAGAACTGGTATGGGACATGTAGGGGAGGCTCAGTGACTTACTCGAAGGAGGCCCCACGACTTCTTTGAGCCTGTGCTGGGTGCTGCCTTGGGGGAACACTGGTGGCCTCTGCTTTCCCTGGAGCTGGAGCTAGCCCATCAACTTCCAGGGTGTGGCCCTCCTCCTCCTCCATGCTCATGGCTTCTGGGAGGGATGTTGCGCTGAGATAACTGCAGAAGAATGCACAGAAGGGCATGACCTCTGCCCAGGGGTGCAGCTGAAGGCCAGATTCCCGGTCAGGTCTGGGTGGCACTCACCGCTCCAGGAGGCCGTGGAAATCTCGCTCCACCTGCAGTTCCTTGTGCCTGAGAGGGGCCGGGTGGTTCTGTGGCCTGTCCTCCACCTCACTGCTGCCAGAGCTCACCTCCATGGTCATGGGCAATGGGCAGGGGACAGCACCGGCAGTGCTGGGCTGGGGCCAGAAAAGCGGAGGGGCAGAGATTCAGCAGATACTTGAACACCACTTTTAAGCATATGCCTCATGCCAGGCTTGCGCTGGTGCTGAAGAGTAAGAAATATGTTGGGCTCACCAACCCCACCACCCTTTCATGTGGGTGCAGAGACTGGACCATGTGATCTTCAATACTGGCTGCCACAGACTGAACTCTTACTATGTGCCAGGCACCGTACAGACATCACTTCACAGCAATCCCACCAGTATGGACATACCGTTGTACAGACATGTAACTAAGGCTCCGATGATTTGCCCAAAGTCGCCCAGATTTTCCTACCAGAAGTACCTCTCCTAGCCCCACTCCGTTCCAGTATGACTGCCCCAGTCCCCCAAACACCTTCACTGTGAGAGCATGGGGGTCCCTCATGATGATGTGCTCAGGTTATCCCCCATTAATGCATGCGATGCTGCCTGGTATAGCTTTCCAACCCTTGGGACAGAGCACAGTGTGAGAGAATTTCCTCAAACCACTGGGCCAGCAAGATTTCCCTGTCATGGATACCCACCCTGCCCCAGCACTCCACCAACCCCACCCCGTCTAGCCTGCCAGTCGTTGGCAGACAAGTCTCTGCAGTGCAGGCAACAAGGAGTTTGGGGGCAGAGAGATCCCACCATTGTCATCTGTGTGACTGCTGTATACTTAGTTTGCTTACCTGCAAAACAGAGACAGTGATCATCTCTCAAGAGATCGTCTCTCAAGAGTGGTGTGGGCTGGAGAAACTTCTACAAAGCTCCTTCCATATACGGCCCTTGTCTAGTGTCTCCCATCTTTGTAGATGGCCCCATCATTCATCCAGCACTATAAGCCAGAAGCCTGGAGGTCCTCTTTGACTTCCTTCCTCCCATCGCTATTCCAAGTCCAGCCAAATACACCTCCTAAACCTCCTCAAGTCCACACGCATCTCTCCATCTTCCCAACCACCTCCCCAGCTTCAGACGTCACCCCCTTCTATGTTATCCCCTGCTGAAAAACCCTCTCAATGTGACCCACAAGCCCATCATGGGGCCCCCGCCTGCCTCTCCAGCCACAGCTCAGACTATTGTCCCCCTCGCTTTCCATACTCTAGCCACAGGGTCTTTGCACAGGCTGTTTTCCCCGCTGGATGGTTTTGCTCCTTCTGTACCTAGTAATTCCCGCCTATCCTCAGTTCTCACTTGAACATTACTTCTTCAGGGAAAGTCTCGTTGACCTACCTTCCCAAACTCAGTCATGTTACCCCGTTATCTACTTCACAGACCCCATAATTCTCCTTTAGAGCACTGATCAAAAAGATAATTAAATAACCGTGTAACCAGTTCAACTACATAGAAAACTCCATGAGGATAAAGGCCCCCCCCACACACACACCTGAATCCTCACTGTGTGTCACAGGTCCTGAAATATGGTACACACTTCATAAAAATGTAGAGAAGGAATGAGGGAATGGAGGAACCGCTCCGTATGGTTAGGCAAAGAAGTACCTCAGGGTAGGGGGTCTGGATGGCTGGCGTGGGGGCTTGTCCTGAAGGAGCAGGCAGGCACTTTGGCTGGTGGGGGGCAGGCATGGCTGGGGCACTGTCCACAGCTGAGTCTGACCTGGATGGCTCAGGCTCTTGCTGGGTCTGGGTCACGTGGTCCTTCAGCTCTTCCAGGCGAATTCCAAGACGGTATATTTCTGCTTCTAGCTCCCTGGAACAGGGAAACATCAGCACCAAGAGCCCAGGAAGGAAGAGACTTCAGCAGGTGTAGGAGGTGGCATGTCACAGCAGAGACCACAGGGAATGCCCATTTAGGGTCCATTTAATGTCACCATTTAGATAATGCCAAGAACTTGAAATAACCAAGGCAAAAGAAGACTGCACTGGGAATTGGGAGGCCTCAGCCTGAGTCCTCTCTGCCATCCACTGGCAGTGGAAACAGGTAAATCCCATCCATCTCTGACCTTAGTTTCCCCATTGTCCAATGAGGGGTTTCAGCTCTTATCTCCCAGGTGCCTTCTCATGGCAGGGGTCCAAAGGGGCACAAATCTTACTTTTCAAGTATTTCACCATTTAGATATGTTGCTAATTGGGACGGGATTTCTCTATGTTCCCTTTCTATACCAATTATAAGGACAAGATGCCTCCCTCCCGGTGGCAGAGGGGACCCAGGGACCTGTCCCATCTGTCTTCCTGTGCCTCCCTCCCCAGCATGTACCTGCCAGGATCAAATTTCCCAGGCGTCCCCTTGGAGCCGGCAAGCTGCTGGGCAAGGTGCTGCTCCCGGCAGACCTTCAGGTACTCCTCCTCTAGGGCCACATGGGCAGCCTTTAGCCACTGCAAACCCTGAAACCAGACCAGGCCAGAAAGATCTGAGTGCTCAGCCCCCAAAGGCTCTGTCCCTGCAGACACAGTAGACAAGACAGCTTGTGTGTCAGATGGGACTCACGCAGGCAACAGTCCCTGGGAGGCAGAGGCTGGGGCTGGGAACCTCTGGAGGCTGTCTGCCCTGGTTGAGCTCTCTACCCTCAGACTGGCACAGCAAAGGCACATCATAGAGCCTTGGCACCAGCTCCCAAAGGCACCAGCACTCCTGGGTAGACCGACAAGGACCCTGATGTACCACAACGGTCACAGTGTCAAATATACTATCATTGTGTCCCCATGAGGACCTACTTCTTGAGAGATCCTTATTCTTTATTTGCAAAACTGTTTGTTTCAAAAAATGAGTCATTCTCTTCCCAAATCCTTATAGACTATCAAGACAGATGATGCAATCATCACCATCACACTGTCGATAATGACGACTAACATATGAGCACTGAAGCTCCGCGCTAAAGCACGTTATAAATCAAGTTTATTCACTTAATCTTCAACATAATCCTAATGAGAGGCATCATTTATCATCTTCATTTAAAAAGGATGAAACCGAAGCACAGAGAAGTTAAGTTGGTGAAGGTCACACACGCGAATGACAAGTTGTAGAGACAAGATTTGAATGCTGGCCCTCTAGCTCCAGAGCTCACGTTCCTAACAGTTACACTAAGTCCCCACAGTAAATGTGATCATAGTTAATACATGGCTAAAACGACAGGAGCTAGGATCATTATTCCTGTCTATTTACCTTCCCCATTCCACTCAACTCAGAGGACAGACTGGGGCCAAGGACAACCTAGACTCCAGGCCACAGTCATGTTTGATCTTCAGGCAGCTCTCAACCTCCCTGGATATGGAGGAATGAGGATAGAGAGGAAGAAGATGAATGTTTTAATTTTCAAGGTCTTGATCATCCACTTGATAATATGATACACATCACACACTTGGTACTTGGAAAATGTATGTGACGTCTATGTAATAACATAGGAAAATACTCATGCCATGATATTTTTTACAAACTAGGTGTGTTGCACTTGCCCTGCAGGCCCTCCCTCAGCTCCTCTCCCGGCCCCCAACTGGATTCACCTATAAGAGATTACAGGGTGGGAGGAGAGAGAACTGGGGACAGGAACAGCTTCTGGAAGCTACTCCCTGGGGCTTCCCCAGTCCCTGTCCGGTGTCCTGATGCCGTCCATACCTGTGCTAATCGTCTCTTCCCTGGACCCCCTACACTCCCAGCTTTGAGAGCTCCACCTGCTCCCTACTGGGTCCCTGGCTGATGCAGCTGAAATCCAAATTGCATACATGAGGACAGTTATCTAAAACTCTGAAGTCCAAAAGGAAATAGGCCAACAATGGTTAGATTACGAGTCTCCTCCCTGTTTTTTACCCTACTTCAAACTTTTGGAACTACTTTTATAATAAAACAAAAATAGAACAAAGGAGATAAAAAAGAAAAGGCCCTTTTCTGGTTGCTAAGAGGCAGGCTAATCAGTGGGAAGCAGTGCCGGGCAGTGATTACGACCGTGGACTCGGGAGTCGGACAGATCTGGATCTGGGCTTGGCCGCCTACCAGCTTTATGGCCTTCCAGTTGCCTCCCTGGGCTTCGGTTCTATTGCAGTTAAATGGAGTAATGATGTCACTGCCTTGCCAGGTTTTTAATGATGATAAAATCAAATAATGTCATCAAGGTCTCACCCCAGCGCCTGACATACTCCCGTCATTGCTTAATAAGTGGTAACTATTGTGATACAACGATCATTAACATGGGAATCTAAGCAGGAGCTGTTTGCTGTAAAGGGAGAAACGGCATCTGGGGTTCTCCTCTGTCCTGCAGCAAAAGAAGCTTCGGAGACTCAGACAGTGGTTGTCTGGAGGCTCCATGAGCATCTCCAGAATTGGGCAGTACCTTGAGTTGGTCCCGGGGTGTCAGACGTCCCACCTGCATCAGTCTTTCAAAGGACTCCACCTGGACATTGGGAGGGGAAGGAAATATGCTCCATTAATCCAGACCCTGGAAGATGAATCTTGCAGACTCCCATACTCAGTCACATTCATGCTTTGGCAGGAAAGCTGGGTCTGGCCTCGGGACGTGGGGTTGCTGCCAAGTACAGAGAGGCAGGTGTTGGAAATAGACTCTACTACTGGCCTCAGCCAGGGCAGCCTTGGGAAAAATCAAAGTGGAACCTGCAAGAATTTATCAACAACAAAGCATACTCATGCATGTGCGTGAAGACATTTACTGCAGCATGGCTGGCGGTGACAGGAAACAGCCTAAACGCCCATCCATGGAATAGCATACAGCCATAAACAAGTGGAAGGCACATGTGTATGTTCTGATGTATAATAGTCCCCGAGACCTACTTTTCAACATCAGATCACAGTAGAGGACAGTGTTTATGTATGCTACTATCTGTATAAAATATATTGGGAATAAAAAAAGGAAAAACATGAATATATTTGCTTGTTTATGATAAACTATCTCTAGAAGGATTCAAGAAACTCAACCAGGAGATAGGGATGGGAGAGAGATCTTCAGCTATATGTGCTTTGTATTCTTTAAACTTTGAACAATATGATTCATTGCCTACCCAAAAATAAATATTCAAATTTATGATATTAAAAAAGTCAGGGTTGGGGCCGGCCCGGTGGCACACTGCTACAGTGTGCCACTTGGGAGTGCGGTGGCGCTCCTGCCGAGGGTTCGGATCCCACATACAGACCGGTTCCCGCTCACTGGCTGAGCAAGGTGCGGGCGCAACACCGAGGGTTGAGATCCCGTTGCCGGTCCCGGTCCGGTACGGGCGTGACACTGAGGGTTGCGATCCGTTGCCGGACACGAAAAAGACAAAAAAAAAAAAAAAAAGTCAGGGTTTAGCAGAGGATACACACTTATGTGACCACTTCTAAAAATGCATGCGTCTGCATTGAACATTTTTGCATGGGTGACAGGTAAGATTTACTTTTCACTGAATATACCATTTGTACTGTGTGAGGGTCTCTACCATATGCAGCTATTACATTCACAAAAAGATTTTTTTTAATTAGGGGAAGAAAAGGCAAAGTATGATTTGGGGTTCATTTTTAGAAAAGCTCTTCATCAGTGTTAAAATATAATATAGAAATTTATCTAATATAATTATATTAGATAATTTATATTATATATAAAATAGAAATGTAACATGAGCCACACGTGTAATTTAAAAATTTCTAGGAGCCACATTAAAAATGTAAAAAGAAACAGGTAATTATATTAGATAATTTATATTATATATAAAATAGAAATGTAACGTGAGCCACACGTGTAATTTAAAAATTTCTAGGAGCCACATTAAAAATGTAAAAAGAAACAGGTGAAATTAATTTTAATCATATATTTTATTTAACCCCAAATAGTCTTTGAGATCTGGTATGTATTTTACACTCACAGCACGTCTCAGGTCAGAACAGCCCTTGTCAAGTACTATATAGCCACACGTGGCCAGTGGCTCCCATATGGGACACGGTAGCTCTGGATCATTAGGGGTCAGCTGGTGCTCTAGCTCCTGCTCAGTGTGAATACTTGACTTGGGTTTATTTTATGCACAACATCCAGGACAAAGAAGAAATGTCTCTCTAGTTATAGGACCAAAAATGGTGATGAGGGCTAGCTGGTTAGCTCAGTTGATTAGAACACCAAGGTCAAGGGTTCAGATCCCCATGCTGGCCAGCCACCAAAAAACTGTCTTTAAAAAAAAAAAAAAAAAGAATGGTGATGATAAAAAGAGTGAAATACTTGTACATGTTGCTCCAACGTGGATGAACCTTGAAGACATTATGGTAAGTGAAAGAAGTCAGACACAAAAGAACAAATATTTTAGAAATCTATTTATACGAAATGTCCAGAATAGGCAAACCCATAGAGACAGAAGGTAAATGTGCAGCTGCCACAGGCTGGGGGAAAAGGGAATGGGGAGTGACTGCTTAATGGATACGGGGTTTCCTTCTAGGTGATGAAAGTGCTCTAAAATTGATTGTGGTGGTGGTTGCATGACTATGAATATACTAAACACCACTGACGCATATACTTTAAACAAGTGAATTGTAAGGTAAGTGAATTATATCTCAATAAAGCTGTTACAAAAAGAAAAGAAAAATAAAGAGCAAAGAAAAGAAAAGAATGGTGGGGTTTCTCCAAAAGAATTTGTTTTATGAGCACAGTGATTGTAACCATTGCATTTCCCTTTTTGCATTGGCAACTAGGAAGCTCAAAGCCAAATATGTGACTCTGGTAAAGTGCTTAGGGTCCCACAGAACATTCTGTCTACTCACTTCACCCTAAGATAATTTATTTTTTTCTACCCTTATTTCCCCTCTGCCCCAGTTTCCTCACTTCCGTTTTCTGAATGCGGTTACAAAATATGTATTTTCATAAGCTGCCCTAAAGCACTTCTGGAATAAGGCCAAGTGTGCTGTTATAAATAGACCTGCCAACAATTCACAGTTACTTGGACTGTTTGATGAAGATATAAAGACCCTCTGAGAAGTAACTGAGAATTGATTTCTCTAATAAAATGAACTAAGAAAGTGGGGTGGTTTGTCCCAAAGAGGAAAAGGTAGAGAAGGTTCTGTTATCCTTCCAGAATCCCGAAAGAGCTGAAAGTCTCCTGGGAGCCAGCCAGGAGACACTTTTAAGCACAACTGGAGGATTTTGATGAGATGCAATGCCAAAAAAAGGGTTAAACTTAGTTCTGGGTGACAAGAAGGAGGTCGGCATGTGTGGCCTCTAAAACCAGGGGAGAGGCTCATGTGTTCACGATGTCAAGGTGACTTGGTGCAGAGGCAGGGGGATGACAGGGGAATCTTGCAGAGAGCCTCTGTTGCAGGCAGGCAGAAGCTCTGCTTTCCCCGGGTGAGTTAAGTCTCGCTGGGACAAAGCTGGGGTTCCACTCACCCTGGTCAGGAATCGGCTGGCCTGAGAAGCCAGCGCCTGGGTCTGCTCTGCTGAGGGCTGGTCCTTGGCGATGCCGTGGTTCTCCAGAAGACATGCTGGGGTGGGCGTGCTCGTGGGCGAGGAGGGGCTCAGGTCTCCTTGGGCCAGCAGCCACCCTGGAATACACAACCGATGAAAGCTCAGGCCAAGAAAAGTCCTTGCAGGGCCTGGAAGACTGAGGCCGAACCTCAAAACTACTTCCTCCATCAAGTGACAGCTCGGCCATCTCGCGCCACCTTCATGTGGGCCCAGGAAAGTGGGCTGGGCAGTGTCACCCCATTTACAGGGGACAACAGGTCTAGATCTGCCCCGGACCACACAGCTGGAAGGAGAGGAGCCACGCCAGTCTTCCGGGCTCTCAGCAACAGTGTGGACTCTGACTCAGGAAGACATGGGTTTGAGTCTCCACCATTCCCTTTCGTAGCTATGTGGCCGTAGGTGTGTCCCCAGCTCTCTAAGACTTGTTCTCCTAACTGTCAGTGGGGTACCATAGTGCATAGCCTGCCAAGTTGATGTGGGCATTAACTGAGATGACGTACATCAAGGCTAGTGCAGGGCTTAGTCCTGATGATATGGGCTCCACCAGGTCAGTGCCTTTGTTCTCCTAACTGTCAGTGGGGTACCATAGTGCATAGCCTGCCAAGTTGATGTGGGCATTAACTGAGATGACGTATATCAAGGCTAGTGCAGGGCTTAGTCCTGATGATATGGGCTCCACCAGGTCAGTGCCTTTGTTACACAATCACCCAAGGTCCCCAAGATGCCAAGTGGCAAAGCCAGAGCAGCCTAGGACACTCTTCACATCTCTGTGTGACCTCTTCAAGTCAAAGGGCCCAGAGAGGGGCCTTGCCTCCCTCCATCCTCTGGCCTGAAGCCAGAGCCATCTCCAGGGTGAACCAAGCCTCCCCAGAGTGGAATCACAGGCAGAAGGAGTCTTCCAGCCATGGCTTCTCTCTCACACTCACCTGAAGCCTCAGAGGCCTGGGGATCCTTGGTGGGGCCTGGCTTCCATTCCACTGAGTGGGGCTTTGGGATGGTGAAGGACAAGACCTTGGTCCCCTGGGGCACTATCCCTGTGTGGATGCTGTGGTTGGGCTGGGGCAGGTCAGAGTACAGGTTCACCTGGAAGAGGGGAGGCACAGCACAGCCAGGTCAGGGGAGGAGCAAACCCACCTGGAGGGCCCCATTTTCATTCAGGGTCTAAACAAATATGCTTTGTATTAATTACTACTACCTTTTAGTGCAGCCCTTGGGTAGTGGCCAAACACTGGGTGAAGAGCTTCTATGCCCTTTCATTTTCCCTTTATGTCAAACCTGAAAGGGAGGCAGGGCAGGGACCATCATCCCATTTTACAGAAGAGAAAGCTGAGACTCGGAGAGGGTAAGTCATTTACTCAAAATCTCCAGCTGACAAATCGTTGGACTAGGATTAAAACATCGCTCTATCTGACCTCAAAGCCTATGGTTTTCCACTATTTACAATAATTTTATTAATAACATTTGTTATAATTATAATTTATATATTGTATATTTCTTAATAATAAATATAAATATTTCCAACAATGATAATTATATTGATGATAATTGCAACCACTGGCTGTTTGAATGAATGAGTAAACCACCAAGTGAGCAAACTGATCTCTCACATCTCTATCATTTGAGGATAGATCTAACATGGCAGACAGCCCAGTCTGTGTGGGAGAAGTCTGAAGTCAGGCAGATGACCAAGGAACACCATTTGAAGCTCAAAAGTAGAGGGAAGCCATGTACTGTACAATGGTGTAGAGCAGAATTTGGAGAACTGTGGTCTGTTTTTGCTTTTATTGAACATAGCCACGCCTATTTGTTTATGTACTTTCTATGGCCGCTTTCACACTACAGCAGCAGAGTTGAGTGGTCGCAACAGAGACTCTGTGGTCCACAAACTAAATATTCACAATCTGGTCCTTCACAGAGAACGTTTTCCAATCCTGGCTTAGCAGTCTAAGCCTGGGTTCACGTCCAATCTCCCCCAGTGCACACCTTTGAGTCCTAAAGCAGCTGACGTAACTAACCTCTCTGTGCACAAGGTAAGTGCTTAATAAACAGCAGCCACCCTCACATCCATCACCATCACCATCACCGTCATTATCATCACCACCACCACCACCATCATCATCTTCACTATTTATACGGCCGCCATGGAGGCAGGTCCACGGAAAAGCTGGACTCTGGTGGTGTCTCAGTGGCACCTGCTCATCATGACGTCAGGTGGATTATCGTAACTGCCCCCTGCTGCTCCAAGATCAGGAGTGGGCAGGGTGCGGTGGGCCTGGTGGAGGGGGCTCCCTGGCTCCCAGGCAAGCAGCCTCTCCTGCTTAAGCTGCTCTTCAAGTCCCAGCTGTGGCAGAAAAATCTACTCCAAGTGTGGGTTGGCCCCCACCACCTCCCCCTCTTTCAGGCTCTGCATCGCTCGATGAGAACAAAGCTGGATTTTAATAATCCCCTCTGCCATCTGCTCAGACCTGCCTGTGGGGCTCATCCACCAGCACCCCTGTCCTCCGGAGGTGACCCAAATCCCAGGGGAGGCCCAGCCTTCTGGTGTGTTTCCCTCCCCCACCATTTCCCCACCCCATCTCAGGCCCTACCTGGGGAGTGAAGGAAACTAGCAGCTCCCAGGCTGGGATGGGACAGGGAAGCCAGGAGACCCCTTTGTTTGAGGAATCACAGAGGAGTTTGAAGCAGAGAGGCCAAAAGCCTGTGCAGATGCCCAGGAAGCGAAGCAGGAGTGGGAGTGGGGGTGCGGCAGCTGCGAGCTGCTTAGCCCTGTCCCTCCCAGGACCTGTCTCCCTGGACACAGCTGACCCACCCCATGGGGTTAGGGTGCCCCTTTTAAGCAGGATGTCCCACAGTGCTCCCTGAGGCTGGATTAGCTCCCTAATGGGGAATCTGTGGAAGATGGACTAGTGAACTCGGGAAACATTGGGTTAAATAATGAATATTCTTTGCACAGAAGGATTCCTCACAGCCTTTAAAATGCTAATGGCCTGTATGAATGGAGCAGGAAGGCGGGGTAGAAGAGAGCAGGGAGTGTTTCTCTAACTCCTTTGAGCACAGAAACCCCCTCCACCCTCTACCCCCACCCCTATTCCCACAGGGGGCTTCTGGACCAACTAGTGGCTATGAGAACACACTTTGGGAAAGGTGGTTTTATGTCATCCTCTTAATTCTTCCTGGGGTAATTTCTGGTCACCCCCGTCCTTCTGGATTGCCCTGCAGCTGAGATGGAGAGACAGGGGTGGAGGGAGGTGGCAACAGGAACTTGAATGTGGTGAGATCAGCATAAACTCTGGCCAGAGGCCAGCGTAGAGAGCAGAGCCCACCAGTGACTCCAGGCCAGCCCTGGTCCCCTACCCCACACTTCTCAGCCCCACAGCCAAGCACCCTAGTCCTGTCCCCTACCCCCAGGCTCCAGATCCATTGGTGTTTCCTTGGCCAGGCCTTGGTCAGCCTCCCGAGGGGCAGAATCCTGCAATTATTTAGTCTAGTTCTGCTAGAGTGTAGTATTACTGGTGGGCTTAGGAGCAAGATTGTTGGATTCAAACCCCTGCTTTGGCCCCTGCCTGTTGAATAATCTTGGGCAAGTTGCTTAACCTCTCTGTGCCTCAGTTTCCCCAGCTGTAAATCACGTAGGACAGTGGTCAATAAACATCACTTATCACCATTCTCATTACTATAATCATGATTAATCTTCCTCATCCCTAAGCCTCTCCCACACACCCAGGCATGCATGAGGAAAGAGAACCTGCTCTGGAATCAGGCATTCATAGGTTTAAGTCCCAGCCCTGCCTTTTACACCAGCTGTGGCACATGGACAAACCATTCCACCTGGCTGAGCCTCAGTGTCTGCATGTGGAGAGGATCAAATGAGATGACCCTTAGCCTGGGGCACCTTTTGACTGCTCAGCAAATGTCAATCTCCTTCCTGAGGGTCCCCACCCGTTGCTGCCCACCCACTCGCTGGCCCTGGCCCGGGTGTCTGCCTGGCTCCCTCCCAGGTGGGTCCAGCCCTCCCCCTGAGGGTTCCAAACAGAGTGAAGGGGCTCAGCAGGTCTCAGGAGGTCACGTCCACCCACACAGTCTGAGGAGCAGAGATGTCTCTGGGAACGAAGCTCCCTGACAACGGCTCTGAGCAGGACACCATCCCGGGTTCTTCTGAGCCTCTGGGGTAGATGCACAGAACCCTGGGCAGAGTGGCTGGAATGCCAGCTCTCCTCAAGCCCCATGGGATCTGGGGAGAGTCCCCTCCCCACTGGGACCTGTGTTTTCCTCTGCATGCTGGGACTGTGAGCCCTCCCTGTGCCACTCCCCTAGGGCAGCTGTGAGATTGGGGGACGAGGGGAGAGTGTCGTCCTGCTTCCGCAGAGTCCACTGAACTGTGCTCACCCTTCTCTTGATGACAGCCCTCAGGCCAATGAGTCACTTGAGTGGGTGAGCTGGCGCAGATCCATTCCCAGCCTCTCCCACCTTCTCTCCTATGATACCCTCGCACACACGAGCCAGGGGTCTGGGCTGCACACGGGGACCGCACGTGGGGGAACGAAGTCCTGTTGGGTCGGGGGAGCCCCCAAGAGAGAGGAGGTGCCACGGCTGTGCTCCCGTGTCCACCCCTGCCCATGCTTTTCACTGTGCCTGGCACTCAGTGGGTACCCAATAAACATCTCTGTTATAATGCTCCCTGTGTTGACCTAAAAGAAACCGAGGCCAAACATACAAAGCATAGGATTTATTGAGCCAATATGTTGACTGCAACCAGGAAATGCATAGGTCAGGTCGCCCTGAGAAATGCACTCCAGAGGGGCCAGCAGAGTTTAGCAATTTATAATCACAGGAAGCAGGAGAATCAAAGGAGGAGAGGGAAAGAGGACAACAGCTCTACTCCAATCACTTCATCAGTCTTTCTGTCTGCTGGTTTAACGACGCAGAGATCTGGGGTGGTTACCAGGTTACATCCTATATGCAGGGATCTAGGGTAAGGGTTACAAGAAGCATTCTAGGTTGTTTGATGACTTTCTGGTGCTATCTTGTCTGCTTCTAAGTAAAAATGGTCTTACGATAATGCTTTCCAGGACAGGTGGATGTGCCTTCTGACTTATCCCAGATCTCCCGAGGCACCATGTACTATGAAGTACCTGCCATGTGCCAGGTAAGTGCTTTCTATACACTGGCTCCCTCCCTTATATGAGTAGAGGAGGAGAGAAGGAGGAAGGAAGCAGATGCTCTAAGCCCCCACCCCTGACTAGCCTGTCACCGTCAGTAGCCTCTACCCCAACTGGGGCCCCAGTTTCCCAGTCTGCAAAACGGGGGAGCCAAAGGGTTTGGACCTGATGACCAGTTCCTCTCTCTCCAACCCTGGAGGAGTCTGCAACCATGAGAATATGGTTTCCCCAGAGAGGACGCCTCATCAAGTCCCCTCTGCTCCCCAAAACGGGGGAGCCAAAGGGTTTGGACCTGATGACCAGTTCCTCTCTCTCCAACCCTGGAGGACTCTGCAACCATGAGAATATGGTTTCCCCAGAGAGGACGCCTCATCAAGTCCCCTCTGCTCCCCTCTCCACCCCCCTGTCCCTTCTATCCCTGGATCTGGCCCAGCAGTTGAGAGCTTGAAGGAGACTTAAGACTTCAGTTCTGGCCTGTTGGCTTCCAGGAGGAAGGTCTGATTGGCCCCTTTTACAGATGTGCCCAATGAGGCCAGCGTGGGAAGGGACCTGCCTGTGGGGACGTGGGAGAATTCCTGGTCCTAGAATAGGCCCCCTTCTGTTTTCTCACCTTGGCTACTTCCACCCCAGAAGTGCATGCAAAGGGGAGGGGTCCTGGAGCATGACAGGGGTAGGCCTGTGTGGGAGGGTGGAGGTGTCCCCTGGGGGAGGGGGCTGAGCAGGGAGCCAGGGGAGGGTCTGCTTCTCCGCACTGTGGCTCCCACCCCTCCTCCACTGCTGCCTGATGGGGCAAGAGGGGGTACAGAGAAAGCAGGAAACCACCAGGGGCCAGAACAGGTCCCACTTCCTGCCTTACCCCAGAAAAGAGGAAGGCCCCGAGTGCAGAATTCACAGCCGCCTCCCACGGTGGGGTGGGGGCTGGGCAGCACGGCTGCCACAATCTGGGGAGGATGGAACCCCCCCACCCCTGCATGCACACTCCTCGGCAGGGGGGAGGGGAGAGGCTGTGGTGAGACTGGGGAAGGAGAAAGACAAATGTGTGATACAGGAAGAATTGGGCCAGGAAACAAGCCTCAGGGGCTGGGCAGAAATTTTCTGCTACTCCCCTGAGGCTCAGAGAGCTTAAATCCTTCCTTAAGGTCACACAGCTGGTTAGTAATGGAATCATTAGTTGAGCCCAGGTGATCTTACTCCATAGCCCATCCAGAAGAAGAGAGCTTCTGGTGAAATTTCTGGGCACCCTGGATTCTGGCATTCAAGAATACTAAAGCCCAGAGAGGGCAAGGTCACTGCCCAAGGTCCCAGAAGGACTGTGGGGTAAAATGAGGGCTGAGGCTCCACTATCCCCAGGGTCTCAGAGGATGGAGGAGGCAGTGGTCTCTCCTGTGACTATGGGGAAGTGTCACCTCCTGCGGGACCCGGGCCCACAGCTCTGCCCACCCCAGCCTGGTACCTTGGCCCCGAGGCGCAGCTGGTCGATGGTGTTCTCGGCCTCTGCATACTTGGTGAGGAGCTTGTGGTAGTCCTCCTGAGGAAAGAGGGGGCAACTCGGTCACACGCCCAGGCACACCACACTCCCCTCCTTGCTGAGAGACCCCCCTGCAGGCAAACCCCTTCCACGGGTGCTGCTGGGTTCCTCGGAGGGAAAGAGTCCAATGGAGAGCCGAGCAGATATCTTTGGGCTCTCATGCAGCTCAGACCCCCACGTCCAAATTCTGCAGCATCAGAGGCAGCAGGACAACTCAACTGCCGCCCCCCATGAGGAGTCTGGCATGAGGACTTCTGGCCGGTTTCCCCTGACCACAGTCCCCAGCACAGAGGCCGCCACCTCTTCTTCATCCAAACTCCCTGCCCATCTGTCACCTCTGGGGTGAGGCCCATGTCCGTCGTTCCCACTGCTCTACTCCCAGTGCTCAAGTGGTATGTGCTTAATAAGAATTTTTTAATGGCAGGCTGAACGAATGAATCCTCCAGGAGTAACTTGGTAGAAAAATAGAAGACTCGACAGTCACAGTTCCATCTAGTTAGAGTCACTAGCCTTGAACAAACCCGTAGAGCTTCATTAAAACAAACCATCCCAGGGGAAAAGCAAAAGCAAATGTCACCTTTGAAGGACACAAGGGAACTGACTCATTGTTCTGAAAACAGGTCATTAAAAGGACAGAACCCAGCACTTCTCTGTTCTTTCCCACACGAACAAGACCTTGGTAACCAAAGGGTTGATGAGGGAAATTGTTACTTTTTCGATTTCCAGTAATTAGCGCAGAAGGAGCGGCAGCATTAGAATACTACCATTTTGTCACCCCACGTGAAGGACTGGATCAAGGCAGTGACCACCAGGGGCTGCTAACATCATAAAAAAGAGGTCAGCAGGCCTCCTGCACCTCCTGAAGGAAGCCCACAGACCACCTGTGATGTGCTCTTACCCAAAACTCCTGCCCCCAGGCAGCTTGTGGTCCAGAGGGGAAAGAGTCACAAAAGCAGATAATTACAACCCCCCAAAAGCCGCTAGTGTAAGCCTAGCAACATACAGGAGAGAGAGAGGACAATGGGACACACGGAGACCTCCTGCAGGTGCATCCGGGGAAGTCCAGAGCGGGACCCTCTACAGGGCAGGACTGGAGTCCTCAACAAATAAATTACAGAGAAGAGGTAAGAGGGAGGAAAGACATAGAGGTTAAAAGAGACTTCCAAAAGAAAAAGAAAAAGTTCAGATCCTGATTCCAACAAACTGAAGGGAACAAGCCATTTATGGCACAGAGAGATCTGACGCTGCCTCCATTTTTGATGATATTAAGGAGTTGGAGTTAACTTTTAGGTATGATAATCATGGTTATGTTTAAAATAAGCTCATTATCTTTAGATATAGATATGTTAAAATATTTTGGGGTAAAATTGTTGGATGCCTAAAATTGTGCTTCAAAATCATCCAGTGGGGTGAGTGAGGGATAGAGGTAAGCGCTTAGTTGAAGAGAGTGGACAGGAGCTGCTAATTGTGGATGCTAGGTGGTGGGCACCTGGGGGTTCAGGATACTATTTTCTCTCTTGCATGTTTGAGTTTTTTCATAGCAGTAGTTGAAAACAGACAAACGTTTTCCTTGAAACACGAGTACAATCACATCGTTCTGAGGACCGTCCTCCCTCCACCAGCAGGGGGCTCCTGGCCCAGACCCAAGGCCCCCCCTGGCAACCAGCCTCCATTCCAGGCCAACAGGCACCTTGGTGAAACACCCACAAACATGAGTCCTGCTTACCTGGAGCTGATGAACCAGCTCTGTGGCTTGTTTGGGCGTCTGAAACTCTTGGGGTACCCTGGTGACAGGGTGGGCAGGAGGTGGGTCCTTTACCAGGGATGCTTCTCCACTGCTCAACAGCACCTCCCGCACAATCTCAGCCGGTGACTTGAAGATCACAGGCTTGGAAGGGTCCTGAGGCTGCCTGTTGTGGCTCCTGGACTTGGGGGGGCGGTAGCTCTCGTCTTTGGGGAACCTCACCCGGGGTCCCACCTTGGAGAAATCAGGAAGCGGGTAGTTCAGCTGCCCCCGGCCATACTTGGGGGCATCAGAAGAGGAGTGTCCAGCCAGGGTGGCTCCCTGTCTGGGTAGTGACCTGTCCTGCCAGGGTGGCCTAGGCCGAGGATCCAGGGGGCCGATGGAGCCAGTGAATCGGGAAGGGAGTGGCTTAGGTGATATCTTCATCCGCTTCCAGGTTTGGTCCTTGGGCTGAGAGCAGGTGAGGCTGATTGTTTCTCTCCTCCATCTGTCTGCAGCACACTGGGGGCTCTGGGCTGGGGGTACTGAAGAGTCCTGGAATTCCGTGGGTGTTGCCCGAGCAACGCAGCCTCCCATTCTGTCCTCTGGGTTTAGGAGGTGGTGGCTGGGGCTCTGTGGCAAGGTTTCTGCTAGGGCAGTGGGCTGGGGGACATCAGTCTCTCCTTCCCAGTTAGAATCAAGGCTGTCACTAGGGTGGCTGAGGCTCACAGTCCCACTGCTCCAGGACCTTGGTGGGCTGAGATCTACAGATGGTTTGACCCCAGAATGTTCTGAAAGATTGTTTCCACTGGCTCGTTTGTCAGACTTTGCCCAGCCTCTGCTCTGACCCTGTCCCAGAGCTGAGGAGCTGGTGTTTCCATTGCCCTCTGAGCTGAGACCAGCCTCATACGCCAGCCTTGAGAAGCTTTCTCCAGCTTCCTCAGCCTCAGGACTTCCAAGGGCCTCATCTGGCTCCTCTTCAGTCATGTCAGATTGATGATCCTGCTGGGGGAGCCAGTTGAGAGGCAAGGTGGAACTTTCTGGGCTGTCCACATCCTCTGCTTCAGTCTCTGGAAAGACAGGTCATACATTGCTTGGAATACACCAGGTCTGGACTCACTGTGGGACGTGACCCTAAGTCACTTCAACCCTCTGGCTTTCATTTCCTCACCATATGGGGATGGCAAGAATCCCAGTGAGTCCCTCATGTAACCAAGTGCTTGTCTAACCCCTCCTCTGGTTGTCTCAAAGGTCCTTCAAATTCACACCTTAACCCCTGCTGTCCCACAAGTGTTTCCCCTCTCGGCAAGTGGCATCGCCATCCCATCCTGTTGCATACACCAGAAGTCTGGGAGGCGTCTTTGCCATCTCTCTCCCCCTAAACCCCCTAATCCAATCTGGCTCCTCCAGCTGATCCCCCTACACACCACATTCCCTCCCAGCACAGGGTGCCCATATGCTCAGCCCTCTGCCAGGGATCCTCTCTACTCCCCCTTACCTAGGTAACTCTGATTTGTCCTCCAGGCATCTGCTTAACCTTCTCCTCATCAAGGAAGTCTCAGAGCTCCCTGACTAGGGCAAACTCTCCCCTTTACAGGCTGTCATAGCAGCGGATACCTCCATTCTGCCATACTGTATTATTATCCCGTTTCATAGATGGGGAAACCAAGACTTAGAGAGGAGAAGGAACTTGCCAGGCAAAACTAGGAATTTATGCTAAGTTGGTCTCAATGCAAAGGGGACACCAGTTATTGCAGAACACTAGGCATGCCAACATTCCCACTGCTAATTGGGATTTTTAAAAATCTTAAAAATGAGCATAACCCCTGGACCAAACAATTCAAATTACCAAAGATATTATCAAATCAAGTGTGCGAAGATGTATTAATGACATTCATCTCTGCATTATTTATAATAGCAAAAACTAGAAACTGCCTAAATGCCCAGCAGCAGGAAATTGACCCAATAAATTAGGGCGCAGCCACACCATGGAATTCTATGCGGGCATTAGGAATGACTTGTGGGAGGGTAGTTGATGAGCTGGGAAAATGTTCACATCTATTAAGTTAACAACAAAGCAGGTTACAATGGGGTATGTAGAATACTGTTCCATATACAGATTACACTTGCATGTCTATACACAAGGAAAGGAGGAGTTATCTGGGGATGGAGTGGGATAAAAAGTAATTTTTAATTTTACCTCTTTTTTTGCTTATGTTTTCTGATTTTTCTGCATTGAACAGTATATATTACTTATGCAATCTAAATCTTTAAAAAATTTAAATTATAGACTTTGTGGAATTTAATAAAAAATTGTAAAGCTTCCCCCATTCTCTTCCCCCTGCTGGAAAGTGAGATATTTGGGGGACAGGACCACTGTAGGAGGTGGGAGGAGTTGGTCTCACCTTCTCCAGAAGACTCTCCTGACTCAGAGTCCTGATGCCCACCAGGCTGTGGGTCTGGGTCCCACTCCAGGGGCGGAAGGTGCTGCTGGGCCAGGCGGAAGTCCTCCAGGAGCTTGGGGCTGGTGGCATCCGGAAAGGGCCCCTCTGCCCCCCAGCCATATGTGCCACTTCCAGCCGTATCCTTCCCCTTGGCCCAGGCCCAGCGCCGTCGCGGGGGCCCCTTCCCCAGGCTGGGTTCAGCCCAGTGGACGTCAGTCCCTGAGCTGGCCATGGAGCCTGGCCTGTGCTTCACCTGGGCCACATCATCTTCTGGAGACAGAGCTGCTGCTAGGGGCCCCAGAGTCACCGCTGACTCCTCTCCGCACCAGCCATCCTGCCTGTGGCCTGTGGGGACACAATCAAGGGATAACATTAATCCTCCAGTCCTCTCCTTTATTCAGAGCAAGAAGTTATCAGGAGGAACTCTGGAATCAGACAGCCCAGGTTTATCTCTTGGCTCCATCCTCCCGAAGCTGTGTGATCTTGGGCAAGTCACTCTTCTTATTTTTTTTGTCACTAAAACTGGGATAATAAATCTTTTCTCCTGCTAGAGTTTTACCCGAGATGCAGAATACGGAGTCCAGCAGCCAGCACACCGACCGAGAGGTGTTCAATGTGTGCTAGCTATTATTACTGTGTACCCAGCTCCATGCCTGGGCACTGGGCACAGGGTCACAGGCTCTGCTCACTGGAGAACTGATAGCCCAGGGGGAAGTGGACAGATAACCAGGCAGCTGCAATCCAGGTGAGAAGTGATGGTGAAGCCGGAGCCCAGGGAAGTCAGGGAAGGTCCCAGTTTAGAAGCCACTTCCTCTGGGAACCTTCCCTGACCTCCCTCAGGTAAGAATTGAGATTGAGAATTAAGAAATAAGATCGAGAGTGAGGGATTGGTGAAAAGAGCATTTTAGTAACTAAAATAATTGAAAATAGGTGCTCAAACTAATACATGTCCACACATGCTAAGTGAAGGAAGCCAGACATAAAAGGCCACATATAGAATGATTCCACTATATGAAATGTCCCAACTATGGGCCGGCCTGTGGCTCACTCGGGAGAGTGCGGTGCTGATAACACCAAGGCTATGGGTTCGGATCCCATATAGGGATGGCCGGTTAGCTCAATGGGTGAGCGTGGTGCTGACAACACCAAGTCAAGGGCTAGATCCCCTTACTGGTCATCTTTAAAAAAAAAAAAATAATAAAATAAATAAATAAATAAATAAAATGAAATGTCCCGACTAGGCAAATCCATAGAGACAGAAAGCAGACTGGCGATTGCAGGGGCTGGGGAGAGGGCACTGGAAGTGGCTGCTTCATGGGTATGGTTTCCTTTTGGGGTGATGAAAATGTTTTGGAACTAGGTAGAGGTGATGATTGCACAACATTATGAATGTACTAAATGCCAATGAATTGTTCATTTTAAAATAATTAATTTATGTTATATGAATTTCACCTCAATTAAGAAAAAGGAGAGCATTCCAGGCAAGGGGATCAGTGAGTACAAAAGCCTGGGGGCAGGAGGGGGTGAGCCTGCCACGTGCTTCCCTGGATATGGAAATGGTTTCCCCATGGCTGTGGTATGGGGATAGGGGATTGGTGACAATGACCCCAGGAAGCATGGAAGGGCAGGGTGGCCAGACCAGGAGAGCTTCTCAGGTCCTGTTCAGGAGTTGGAGTCACCTCCAATCAGAGGTGTGGCTTAGATGTTTCCCTCTGGCTGCTGTAGGAGAATGAACCAGAACAGGGGAGCCTGGCTGCAGAGGGACCTGCCAGGAGGCTGTGGCAGGGGAAGGGTGGCTGGAGAAGACTCCTCCCCTGGCTTCCTCTGTCCTCATTTTCTTTCCCTCTTTTCCTTCTTACTCTCACCTTCTTTTGCCTCCCTCCTGCTATTTCCAGAGCTCTCCAAGCACCTCCTCTGTGCCAGTGCTGTGCCTGGCCCAGAAAACACAAGTGGACAGAACAGAGGGCACATTCCCACCCAAGTAGCTCCCAGCCATGGAGATTTCAAAGAACTGTAGCATGTCAGCATGGCAGGGCCTCCAGGTCAGCTCATACAAAGGCTTTCTTCTACAGGTGGGAAACTGAGGCCTAGAGAGTGAAGGGGTCTTGCCTGGAGCACACATCGGTCACACATGGCTGATACTCAGCCTCCCTGTGCACAGTCTGGGCTCTTTCCTCCATGCTGTGGCCAAGTGGATTATAACTCCAGGCCTCCCAGGACAGACGTGTCTGTGTCTGTCCCTTCAGCCTCGTGAGTACTTGGATCCTGGTCAGAAGCTTTGATCTGTTTGGTTGAGAAAAGTCAGCAGGCAACTATTTCTGGACACAAAGTTCCCCAGGGAACAGTGCAGCTCCAGAAAGGCCGACTTTGCAAGGGCTGGGGTAGGGACAGGGAGTAGCTTTCTCTCCTGCTTGGCTGTAACCCCAGCCCTGTGGACAAGGGCTCAAGGGCTTCTATCCTCTCCTTCCCACCCAGTTTTCCTTTCTCCCCCCGCAAATGCAGAACTCCAGAATTTCCTCCAGATCACCCCATGTGCAGCACCCCCAGCCCAGTCCCCACCACACACGGTGTGCCCACTTTGTGTCGGTCTGATTAGAAGCTTTCCTTCCATGACCTCAATCTGTCCTCCCCCCAAATATGTAAGGGGAGGTTACAGGAGAAGTATTTCTCAGAGACAAAACTGAAGCTCAGCATGGAATTGTGACTTGGCTAAGCTCACCCAGCTGGTTAGTGCCAGAGCAAGATTAGCAACTGTCAAGTTTGGCTCAATGGTCTCCAGTGTTTGTTTTTTCAATCACACAACCCACCAGGAAAATATATTTGCTCACATACACATACACACCAATGGTCTCCAGTGTTTGTTTGTTTTTTCAATCACACAACCCACCAGGAAAATATATTTGCTCACATACACATACACAGATTTCTTATAACTTTATATACATGTATTCTCCTGCTGATGTATTACATATACTAGAAAGAAGATTTCCAAAAGTGAATTTAAAAAAAAAATGTGATAGAAATCTTTATTTTTTTATTCTTAATTTTTTTTAATTGTAACATAGTTGATTGTGCATATCTGTGGGGTGAAAATAAATCTTTTACATTGAAGTTCTAATCCTCTCTTTCTATACCCTCTGCAGGGCCTATACCCTCTTAGAAATCCCTGCTAGTGATCTTAAGCTTAAGAATCCTCTAAGCATGCAGATTCCTGGGTCGACCCACAGAGAGCCTGTGTCAGTGGCCCTGGGGTAGGGCCGAGGAATCTGCATTTTAAAACAGGGCCCCAGGCAGGGACCACCCTTTGAAGATCACTAGTCTTCCTGCCTTCTCGCTCCTGCTACTGTGGCAGGTGTAGGGGGTGCTATGGTTTAGTCCTTGCTTTTGTCTTCTTGAAACCTCTGCTGAGGAAGAGACTGTGACGGGCATGTGGTTTTTTGACTTTTTAAAGGGCTTTTTTCTAGCCCTGCCACAGAGCAGTCTGCCCAATCACAGAGGCCTCTGGGTGCACAAAGAGGAACATCCTGTCTTCTGGGATGACTCAGTCGTCACAGAAATCTCACTGTGACCAGGGGATGTGCATGACAGAGGCAGCTGTGGTCACTGGCTGGAGTTTTGTTCTTGTCCCTTAAGCCCCTAACCCTGTGAGCTTAGGCCTTCCTGAGCAAGACCTCTGTCTTCCACGCAAGCCATGGCCCTCAGTGTCACAGAGTGGAACAGCCAGTCAGCAAGTCAGTCAACAAACACACATGAGTGCCAACCACATGCCAACCTCAGGCTGGGACAATGCGGTGACAGAGAAGCAGGGTGGGCAGCAGGAGACCAGGTTTCAGCCCTGCTGCTGCTGCTACTTGTGATGGATGACTGGACTTAAATTTTCCTCACTGAAAATGCTACCTGCTCATGCTACTGCAAAGGGGTATCGTCCTGTGAGGGCGGGTTGGGAGGCAGAGGATGAGGCAAAATGAACTTTGAGGTTCCTAGTTGACTCAGCTCCTGAAAACAGCCTCAGAACTGTTAACCTCTCTCCTCCCCCCTGAGCTTACATTTCAAAGTACCAAAGATATATACTGAACACCCAGTGGGTGCAAATTAACTCTTAAAACATCTATGACTGGGCTGGCCCGTGGCTCACTTGGGAGAGTGTGGTGCTGATAGCACCAAGGCCACAGGTTCGGATTCCTATATAGGGATGGCGAGGTAGTTCACTTGGGAGAGTGTGGTGCTAACACCACCACGTCAAGGGTGAAGATCCCCTTACTGGTCATCTTTAAAAAAAAAAAAAAAAAATCCGTGACATCCTATGACGTGCCAGGCGCTATATAAGACACAAGGAATACAGAGAAGAATAAAAGTGTTCCAAAATTTCAAGTGGCAGGGGGTGGTACAATATAGAAGGATTACTGAAGAAGGAAGCTTTAAGGTGGACTTGAAAGACAAAGAGGATTTGGGGGAGAAGAAAGGCGGAGGGCATTCCAGGCAGAGGGAACAGCATAGGCAAAGGCACAGAGGTCTGAAAGTGTGAACTGAACTTGAAGGAGAGCTATGGGCAGGGTCCCTGAATGCCGGTGGCAGGGCTGCTCCTGGAGGGAAGTGGGGTTTGGTGAAGGCTCCAGCCATGTGAGCTGGGGGCTGGCCCCTTTAGAACTGAGTCCCCCAGGGGAGGTCTGTTAGGCTCAGGGTCCCCGCCCGTCCTGGAGAAACTAACCCCACAAGAAGACACCAACCACNCAGAGGTCTGAAAGTGTGAACTGAACTTGAAGGAGAGCTATGGGCAGGGTCCCTGAATGCCGGTGGCAGGGCTGCTCCTGGAGGGAAGTGGGGTTTGGTGAAGGCTCCAGCCATGTGAGCTGGGGGCTGGCCCCTTTAGAACTGAGTCCCCCAGGGGAGGTCTGTTAGGCTCAGGGTCCCCGCCCGTCCTGGAGAAACTAACCCCACAAGAAGACACCAACCACCACCCTCTCCTTCTATACATCTCCCCACCCCCATGCCACTCCTGCCCCCTGTGCTCTCAAGGGTCTAACAGACCCCTGTTGTCTCTTTTTTAGTTCCTAGGTGGGCTAGACTCCTCTTCCCCACCACCCCCACAGGGCTCCTCTGCCCCTTAGCCATTTCAAAACCCAGGAGGTCTCTTCCCTCTATGCTCAATCACTCAGAACCACCCAGACCCCAGGATCCTCCTTTGCCAGCACAGCCAGGCAGCCCACCACGGCCTCCCCAATCCAGCCAGGG